TCTCAACCGTATTAAATTGGTTAATTGGTGTTACCTTTACATCTCGGAAGGTTAGTGTGTGTCTGTTTAACAGTTGGTCACTTAAGACAGCGATAAAGTAACCATTTGATCACTCAGACCAAATGAAGTAACAACCACAGAAATAATCACATTCAGTGCTTAATAATCACTTACGTTGGTTCATTAATCAACTGAACCGATTTGAACATACTTACGTCACAGTATGCTACAGCTCAAAAATCAATGAAAAAACATTTTGCCGTTTGTCTTCACGAAATAAATTCCTACTGTGAAAGCTGCTTTGAATACCAATCCGCATCGTCCCTTTTCAACGATAGATCGTTTTATTCGTAATATCAATGACAATATTTGATTTTATTATTTTTTAAAGGGGTTGTATTTTTTAAAAGTTTCATTGAAATTAAATATAAAAATTATTGGGAAAAAAATTGCCGTATGAAAGTGAAGACAGACATGTAGCTTTCTTATTACCCATTTCTATATGTAGGTGAGCTAATTTCAATGATCAATTATTCACATATCAACAAATACATACAAAATATTCAAATGTAAACAGTTTTTTGGCAAACTTGAGATTCGTTATTAGCACCCCAAAAACTTACAGGAACAAAAAATCAAAAGTTCTCACCAATATACGTTATCAAATTACATAATGACTAGAGTAAAAAGTCAAGTGTCGCCATCGTCATTCATGTGTTAAACAGTGCGTAATTTCTCGCCCATACTTTCACGCAAAATTATCCAGATAATTAAGCAAAAAACGCACAAGACCTTATTTTAATATCTATCTTTAAAGGAATAATTTCATTTAGGGAAAGTCTCTGTCTTCATAATTGTAGTTGTAGGAAGACGCCGACAAAATTATTTCTGATACTTTATTGAACTTGAAAAAATTTCTGAAACTTTCGAAAAATGACACCATTCACTGAAACGTTCTTTACACTAGCCAACAATTTTTTTATCAAAACATTAACATTTTTTTACACGTTTGAAAATGCCCATGAGGCTTAATATAAAGTGCCGCAAAAATAAAAAATATCAATTTCAAATTCAAGGGACCGCGACATCAGTCAGATTAACTGAAGAATATCAATTTTGGAGAAATCGACTGAACAGTTTCGCCGCTTGCGTTGTTCACAGACAGACGGACAGACAGATAGACATTTTGCCATTATTCGATTTTTCGATATCACGGACCCACAAAACATGGATTCTGAATACATCACGTGTTAGAGGATTTTTTAAATTTAACATCTGGATTTATCCATATTTTCTTTACTAGGGCCCTGTAACAGAAGTATTTTATACTTCTGTTACAGGGCTGCGCAGCATGACATAACTTTCTCTCTACTGCGGTGGCTGGAAAGTAAAAATGCAAAACGTCGCGTTGGTTTCACATTGCAATGATGAGTTGCTGAAGTTACATAAAATAAATGTGATAACAAGTTGATGTCATTTTAATAATAATATTGACAATTTAAAAAAAAACAAGTTTATCATGTGTTTTGTAATTTTTCCTTCATTTACATTTTCGGTGGGGGTACAGGGAATAGGACTCTTCCTCCCGCCAGGGTCAAGTCCTCACTGAGAGCAATCGCCGACCCTGACCTTCCTCATCCCTTACAAACTTACACGCACTACTTCTGCCACACATCGCGAGACCAGTTGCCTAGGCCCAGCAGCTGCGGGGTCTCTTTAGCCAGCCGCGGATCCAGGGAAGGAAAATGAGGACAATTTACCCCACAAAATGTTTCAGTAACTATTCATTTTAATTTGTCACGAAACTTTCAAGCAAAAATATTTTCCGAAGTTTAAAATCGTATCTCAGTATTAGCTGCTTGTTACAATTGTTACATTTTACAGAATACGTAATGCGATACATTCGACCAAACCATTATGACACATCCCCTACCTAAATTTCTCTTTGGATCCTCCCCTGCTTTAGCAAAGATACCTTTAGAGGGGAACACGAGTATGTCGGCGCCTATATTCACGTTGCAGCAGGGGGACTATCTCCCGGGCTAAAATAAGTACTACACTCGCGGACCTAAAGAGCAATGCAGTTTACAGGCCCAGGATAATAGGAATAACGCAGTGAGTGAGTTCCTAGGGTTCGAATGCCAACGGTGCCAGGAATTTAGACACTAGACACAATTTAGACTCTCTGGGGGAGAATTACATCCGCCGGCTGCTCTGATCGGTAGTTTTCCTTGGTTTCTCCGATCAATAGCAGTCGAATGTCGGAGCAGTACCCTAAACGGACCCAACACTGCGGCGATATTTTCTTCCCATTGCTTGTCCTGTCCTACCCCTCACTGACACTTATGCTTACAAGCACTACACCGCCACACATGCCTGGAGACCGGTCGGGAGCTTCCGCTGTCTGCGAGGTTTCGTCCGTGATAGAAGTTTATCAGTGCACAGCACGTGGCGTCGATCGAAATTCATCGTCAGCTCTTACTGACGTGCTTACTGCGGGTGTTGGCATGCATACTGTGCTGCTCCGTGATAATACGACGCGACAAACTGCAACCTTCTGCAGTAGTTTGGCTGGAAGCTGATTCATCATCTCCCACACAGTCCCGATTTTCATCTTTTCCTGCACCAGAAGACATTCCTGCCCTCCCGTCGTTTTCATGAGGATGAAGACCTGAAGACGACTGTGTCACGCTGGTTCCACTCACAGGCGGCACACTTTTACAAGACAGTTATACAAAGTTGATACCACAATATGACAAATGTCTCAATTCGTGAGATCACAATATCGAAAAATAGCTCCAATAAAGTTTTGCGTGTAACTGTGTTGTCTTTTATTTCACAAAATAGGAAAACGTACTTCCTGGATGCGCTAATTAAATACTTCATCTCTTAGTAAGAGCTTTTTTTACAGCATTTACTTAAAATGACGTGAATAAATCAGAGCTTTTACTTCATTTCGTAAGTGAATACTTCGAATTTTTTTAAGCACTATGATGATCGAACCTAAATCTTTCATATAAGAGTTTCAACTTTTGTAAGCAAGACCTTTTTATGCAAGTTTTTGCTGCCAATTCCAGGAAGTGTGTTCGGAAACAGAGGTTATGTATTAATTGAGCAATAATGGTTGAATTCTTGAATTTATGAGCCCACAATAACTTCCAACGTCTCGTCACTTGCGCGAGTGATTATTGAGAATTGTTTTGATTTGATAGGGAAAATGTTACGTGGTTATCATTTCACTTGGTAGGAGAATAAAAGGAAACAAGAGGTGATGATTTTACGAGTGTTCAATGACTGGAAATTTTCCTGTGTTTCGTGTTTCTGGTTTCCAAATTAGAAAAGCAAAGGACTTTGCAGTTCACAGTCCCGCAATATGCTGTTGATAACATCAAATGTTATACAAACTAGTGGTGATGCAATTGCACATACTTTCTCGCATTATATCTAGGTGTATCGCTACATTACATTTCTACATAAATCCGCAAAAGAGGTTTCAACAAGCAAAAATGTCCTTCCGCCCCGAGACCTGAAGTCATAATCTTGGAGTTAACTTGCTTTTACTCATGCCACCCCCCCCCCACAGAAGCGCCGTCTTAGTCGAACTCGGCAGACACATAATTGCACTTTATGTAAAAAATCTCTAAAAAGAAATCAAAATATCCATTTGCAACTCCCAAAGCCTCAACGTTTTATTTTACACTAAATATGACGTATTTTTCAATAATTTTCACTAAGATCGTTTCAGAAACGTATTGAAAAACTTAGACGTCTTTCTCATCTGAGGAGATCATTTCTTTCTACTAAAATGAATCAGCTGAGTAAATTAAACCTCGCAAATCGCTTGTCACGATACACTGCAGTGCAGTGATTTTCCCGGCATTCTCTAGAGGCCGTCCATAAATTCGTAACGCAAATCTGGAGTATTTTGAATACCCTCTCTACCCCTATAACGCTTTAACCCACAAAAACACACTTGAATCCCTCCTCTATTAATTTCGTAAAGCTTGCGATAAGAAGACCCCTTCCTTATTATAGTAAGTAATACTCAATTATAAAGCAACAAAATTAGAAAGTAAAATTAAAATTAAAAAATTAAAAAGCAGAAACGAGTTATATTAATTGTATTTGTGTTATATATTAAAATGTATGATAATTGACGTAAGAATTAGTTGGTGGTGCGGACTGTACGTAACAATCAGGTTAGCGACCATTTTTTTTATAAAAGGACGTGAACACGATAATATTTCTGACAAGCCGTGCACTCGCCATCATGGATGATGCATAGGCTCTGAGTCTACTGCATCATCTTAATTTAATTCATGAAAATAATATACATCAGTTTTGTATATATTCGTCGTAATCTAATGAATTCAATCAATACATTAGTGATAAAAATATTTTCATTTATTGTAACTATTTAAATTTCTTTAACTTCTTTAATTTATTATATTTTTATTTAATTCGTTTTTATGGTAATGTTTTAGTATAAGAGTGAATAAAATGAAGTGTTTCAGCAAATGTTGAAAGATTTAAAAATTGTCTTTACATAACACTGAACTATGTCCCTCAAGCTCCCTCCCCCCTCTTCAGCGTTACGTAATTTATGGACAACACCCTATCAAGAAGTTACTTCGTTTCCCAGTAAAAGTGAAAAGTAATTCCCACCAAATTAATTCAATGCTTTGCTTGGTAAAAAATTGCTTACTCTACGTTCTTCAGACTAGAAGCAAATACGAGGGACGTTCAAGAAGTTATCTTCCTCGGTATTTTACGGCATTTGTGGAGAGCTGAGTGTGCATAGGCAAGTAGGGTCATGTCTTTGTATAATTCGGCTTCAGTTACAAATCTATCTGCCGTAAGCTCTTGATGTGGGAAGATGGCACGTGCTGTGCTGTGCGGGTCAACAGAGATAATGAGAGATTTCGCACACCGTGGCTCAACGTATTCACCCTTCGTATAGTCCGTATCTCGCTCCCAGCGACTACTTTCTGTTTCGAAACATGAAACAAATTACGCGTGGGCGACGATTTCCAGACGATGAAGCACTTATGAAAGCTGAAATTGGGCATCTGGCCAGACTCAAGGTTTCCTTCTTTTCTGAGGCAAAATATTCCAAGTGTTTTGAAAAGTAATGAGGTGAGTTTTGTTTTAAATTTCACATTCATGCTCAGGTGGATAACTTGCTGAACGCGCTCCGCCCGATGTTTGTGTTGGCACTGCCCGTGGAGCGGCGAGCGCGTGTGGCTGCAGCCGCACCCTTCCGCTGCCGCCGCCGCCGCCGTCTTATCTGCGCGCGCGCTATCGCAGGGCTGCAGCGGCGGCGGGGGCGGGGGCGGCGGCGGGGGCGCCGATGGCGGCGGCGGCGTCGCAGGCCGGCAGCGGAAGCGCGTCCGCGGCCCAGGCCAGCGGCGTCGACACAGGGGGCGCCCGCCGAGGGGGCAGTGGAGTGCAGGTGAGTAAGGGGACCAAAGGAAAGGAGGACGAACAATTTTAAGAAAAACGTACGACGAAAATAAATAAATCATTTTATTAATTCAAAAAAATACACTAAGCATGCTTTCATCCCTTTATTAATTAATTAAAGGAATATGTTTCCATTGAATCAATATTTTTGTCAATATATCATATTTTAACAGTGTATTTGAAATTTCAGAGCAAAAAATATGTTTCGTATTGAATTTTACAAATAGTGATACAGATAGTGTTTTAAAATTGTCTTGATTTCTCACTTATTCAAACAGCTGAAATAATGAGGCTGAAACTACTGAAAACAGTGAGAAGTACCCCGATCTGGCAGCACTGATCTCATCGTTCCAAATTGTTCCGTTACGTATCTTGTAATGGTTCGGCATGGCATCTCTGAATTAAAAGATTTACAGATGAGTTTTAAATATGCAAAAGGAGGACATGTAGAACGTCACTTTTCGATGAAGAACAGAACCTACAAAAGAACTGACGTCTATAAAGGAAGACAATTGGTCACGGACAGGAGGGGACAAGGATCTGTGGCTTCGAAGGTGTAACGCGGCGCGAGGAAAGAGATAGCATTTCGGGTTATTACACTCACGTTTGTGGGCTCCAACCCGATCGAACCCGCGAAATTGTAAGGGCGAAGAAATCGTTCGTACGGCTTTCTTCCGATGGCAAGTAAAGCCGTCTGTCCCATGTTGTAGATTTACTGGATGTTAAATATCCGCTAGCCTAAAACAAAATTCCGATTAAAAAATTTTGAGCAACATTCCACCGCCAGTTTCGTCGCCCGAAGTGATACCTCCTTTATCCGCTAGATGGTGAAAGGAGCGTACCGAAATTTGCGTGGTGAGGCTGAAATGTAGGCCTGATTGTCCGTGCCTCGCCAAGGGGCAAATTGAAACAGGGCCAATTGATTGATTGAAGGGTGAGAACGGGAAGTACGCACGTGGTCCGATGTCCGCTTGTAAAGGTACTACAGCGGCATTCGCCTGGGATTGATGGGGGAAGGCATGGATAATTATCTAATACAGCAGCAGACGTTAGAATTCTCCATCGAATGGACACACGAATGTAGCTGGAGCCGAAAATCCTACCACTGGGTACTGGAACCTTCCCGCTCAGGCTCATTATATATCAATTTTCGTGCAGTAGCCAATAGCATTATGTCATTTTCACACTTTCTGCCTTATACTTTTGACAGTGGTAAGCACATTTCTAAGGCCACGAGCCTCGTTAGGGAGGACGTACCCGAATTGATTAAAAAGATTCATTTCATAAAACAGGAGGGGTAACAGTGACCTAATGTCATCGGCCTCTATAGAAGACTGGCAGTATAACGAACCTGGCCGGGAGGTTCTGGGTTTCAGATGCGACACGTTGGCTAGATTTGGACTCGGTGTGAGCAACATTTGCGGGGCGACTAGTCGCTGTGTGTAGAATTCTAGTCGCTAAATTATTCCTAAGGTATAATGTATAAAGTGCTAGTTGGCATCATTCGGCCTGGAAGGAAGGGGGGAGGGAGGGGTTAGCGGAGCGATGCCGCTGCGGCGGGGGTGGCAGGGTGGGGGCGTGGCGTACGCGAGCGGTGGCGGCGACCCGTGGAAGGCGGAGACGGCGTGCGCGAGCGGCGGGCGCGCCGCAGCGCTCCAGTCGCCGAGGCTGGCCGCCGCCCAGCGCCGCCGCAGCCGCCTGCTCCCAGTCGCGCGCGACGCGCCTCGCGGCTGTCTGCGCACCGAGCCCGCGCCCACAAGACCACGGGCACCGCGCGCGCCGCCTGAGTCGGAGGGCGAGTCCGTTGTCCGGCGAACCGCTGTCCCCAGGCCACGGAGTGGGCAGCGTCTCCGTGACAAGCTGCTGGAGGCGGCGGCGGAGGCGGCGCCGGGGCCCGGCCCCAGCTACACGTGGCGCCGCTACCTCATGCTCCTGCTCTTCACCTTGACGTCGGCCTCCAACGCCGTGCAGTGGATCCAGTTCGCCATCATCACCGAGCCCGTGATGCGCTTCTACGGCGTGTCCGCCGACGACGTCAACTGGACCTCCATGATCTACATGGTCACCTACGTGCCGCTCGTCTTCCCGGCCGCCTGGCTGCTCGACCGCATGGTGAGTCTCCCCTCCCACGCGCATTTGCGTAGGCCGCCTCCGCACTCCAACCGGCGCGATATCTCTGCTGTCGTTAGCTACACTGGCTAGGGATGGCAATAAAAAACGATGTTTTTAAAACCACGATAGTTTTGAGCATAAGCATGGATATTATAACATCGATTTTTTACTTTCGATGTTTTCTTCAAATCGATATATTTGTGCCGAACATCGATGTTATGAAAAATTCTCACGATAGAAATAAAATTTCCAGTGTCTATTTTATTTGTAGTTTGCTTGCTATCAACATTGACAACTGTCACCATTGTCGATCCTCAGGGACACGAAGCAGTTTTCTATTAGCAACCTTTTTCCCCCACTATCGTTACTTGTCTAGATTTTCTACGTGGTGATATCGTTACACTGCAATTTGAACATAGAATCTTGATTACAAAATTAAGATGACAGTCAAATTTAAGGCGAAACATGCTTTAAAGGACGTGTTATGGATCACATTAGAACCAGAACATTTCACTTCGAAATGCTTCATCATTTGTATCGGTTGTTCATCGATATTTTAACCATCGAAGATTTTTGACGGCATCGACATCGAACACCTTTTGGTAATGTGTCCATGTTTTACTAAACTCTTAAATCATTACCACCGGCAGTTGGGTACGTCACTTAGAACGAACTTTCACTTGCGACATTCATGTCAATGTTTACAAAACATCGAAGTTTTAATAAAACCAATATTGTTAACACCGATCTATTGCATCCCTGCTTTCGTTGGCCCAGTCACGTTGCCAGGCAGTCAGGTTGTTGTGCTAGCTAATCGTCACTCAAAATGAACTTTCGCTTGCGACATCAACGTCGATGTTTTCAAAACAAGGAACTTTTAATGAGGACATTACTATTCCATACATTGATGTATTGGGGCCGAAGCCTACCTTTGGTGTTTTTCTTCGCAGTAGTTTTAATTTGCCGCTGTTTTATTTCTCAATGAAAAATATATTTAAAAAAAGCAAAATAATCATTTTCTCATCATAATAAATTTAGTAAACGTAAAATGTCAATTTTTGTAAAATTAAATCTGAGAGTTTTCAAAAATGTTTTTATTTTTTTTTTCGTTTTTTCCGTGAATCTTAATTATATATTAACAAAGGGGTAAATGCATTTAATTAAAAATTAAATCGTCCTTCCTGCTATTGCCTTGGATGATTGATGTTCTTAAACGAGTTTTGAAAGCATCGAAGTTAAAGAATAGGCCGGGTTTGGGGCGTTGACATCAAAGTTTTAATCTTAAATATCGATGACATTTCAAATTGACTGTTTTATTGACGATGTCGCATTCTTAGTTCGCGTAAACTGTTATCTCAGTCGTGACTGTTGGTCTGGATATTCTTCACATAAAACAAGTTTTCGCTGTTTCAATGAACCTCTTGAGATCCACTTACTGTTGCTGATAAAGCAAATAATCTTGAACTCGAATGTTTGCCTTTTTGAATACGAGATGCACGTGTTTCGTATTTACAAACCGTTTCATTAAAAAAATATTATATTATAATAAATTATAATATTAATTATTATTAACAACGTAATTTTATATTACTTATGCTTTATAATTTTTGCTGCAATATATGATGTAAATGCATCTGCAAAAAGTGTAATTTTTTACTCATGAATTATTTAAGAATTCATCCATTCTTCTTAATAATGTGAATAATAGAATAGAATTTCAGTTGATATTTACTGCATTGCACAAACGATTTCTAAAATGATCAGCGCATATGAAAAGTTGCAGATTTAAAACGTAGTCATGCCTGTGCCAAGTGAAAGGGACATGTTGAGAAACGAGAACATTGTATTACTAAAACTTCAAAAAAGATAGTTTAAAAGACACCTTTTACATGGAGCACACGCTTTGTCTTTGACCGCGAGTTAAAATATGTGGAGTCTCTGGTCAGTGTGAACATTGGGTCGGAAGTTTAACACAATACCGTCTCATGGAGGTGCGCGATGTAAAAGGAGCAAGTCGCATTCTTGAGCCGTTTTCCTGCAAGATGACACCGTTTGGGGGTGTGCCTACTCTCGCGCCGCGTCGTCAGCGCATTCTGAAGGAGCGGAGAGTAGCAGGTTTTCCGCGCTGCAGCAGCTGTCGGCGGCGGGCCGGCCGGCGCGTGCTCAGCGCACGTGCACGTGGAGCTGCGACTGCGATCCCTAGCGAGTTCCGCTCCCCTTGCACCATCACTCTCCCCCCC